ATCATTGTCGCTGATTAACAGTCGCGCGATGATTCCGATGAACCTCGCTCAGGCCTTTTTCCAACACGCCGCCATATACATCGCGATGCACCGCGTCCTTATGTAAAGTGCATATTTAAATCGAAAGAATATTTTATAGATCTGATAAGTGGACTTTCTACGCTTTCCCAATGTACCGGGAATAAATTTCGCCCACGCTAATAGTCCTCAATTTATGCAATCTTTCCTTACGAATCGAATAGAGCTGTGTATTAGTAAGAGCTGTCTAACGTTTTACATGGGAATCCATGCGTTACTCGATGCGGATACGAAACCGATGAGAGGAAAAAGTGAAACCGATGGATATGAAGATCAATAAGTACACCGGTGTACACTAAACTTTACTCATCGCTCGGTTGGTCACCGGAGAGAAAGTGGCCGTGCAATGATGGACGTGATTTTCGTGGCGCAAAAATAGCGCATCCGACGACTCACGTAGACGGATATTTATGGTTGCCGTCGTCCGGAGATTATCCGACCGACTGATGCGGAAATAACGATCGAACGCGAAAGTTCGCGTTTTACGTGAACGGACCATTACGTCCCGACTGTAACGAGCGCGAGTGCGTTTACTCGAGCGAGGGGACCTCCTGGATATCTGCAAACGGCAACACACAATTCCCCGCTCGTTTTCACGATGCTATCGCTAAACGAGACTTCGCACTTAACATTGCGAATTAATCTCGCAAATTCGACTCGAGACGAGTCTGTGCGCGACGTTTATCTCACAATTAGCGTGCGATATGTGGTATCGCATTATATAACGTATACTGCAAAACATTTTAAAAAGCGAAATATAAATCTAGGCAGAGATAAGAGAAAAGTATTATAAAAAATTTATTAAATTTGTAATAACCGAGTATATATTTCTGAACGCAACATCGATAAGTTACATGGATGGACATCTACGCATTTGCAACCGCTTGTCTTTAAAATGATAAAAGCAGCTGAATCAACGGGAAAAAATCTGTTTTGTATCTGCAATATAAATACGTTGGATTCTCACAAACATGTGAGATCTGTGTTTACTAACCTGACTGACGATTTTCTCACGAATCGAAAATGTCGAATCGCGAGACAACAAATCTTCCTCGATGAGCGATCCTTCCTTTCGCTTGCGTTTAACGGTCGACGTTAAATCCGCCGATTATTTCGTTTCCTCCTTTCCCGAGAAAGAGATCTCTCTTCGGAAACGCGATCACCGTTCACCATTCACCGAAAGAACGGACGCGTATCACATCGGTCTTGCGTGTCACTTCAGTATTTCTTCTGTTCAATATTTCATTCGTCTTTATATCGTCGTCCTTTTGGCTCGTCGAGCGTGACGGAAAGAGTACCTCGAGATACACAGCCACAAAGACCGGGGTGACAGCAGAAAAAAGAGAGAGAGGAAGAAACGACGAAGACGTTGTTCTACAGCGAGCCTAATCGGCGGGATACCGTTTTAACGAACCTCCGAGCGCTTAATAAGCGCGCTCGTGCAAGTAATCGACAATGACCTGCCAGTCGGCGTGCGCGACGTTATCGCTCTTCGGTAGATAATAAAAAAGGTGTCTTCGGATGAGCGGCTGTTTGCGCTGCTGCTTTATTCTGCATCCACGACACGTCGTATATCGCATTAAACACTAATGATTTCTTAATTACTTCAGCATAAATACTTCAAGACGAATGGAAAATAATTTCTTATTCTTAATATCGTGCTGGAAGCGCACGATAATGCAACAGTCGAGTCTTGAGTCAGAGCACGCACATTCTCAAAGATATACGTAAAAATGACGAGGCTTCTTCGGCTCGTTTTTTTTTTTTTTTTATCTCCTTTACGTTTGCACAAGCAATTCGCGAATTTTATTGACACAATTCGTTATTGCATTCGGTTCATCAGCTGATCCGTATCAAAGACACACTGTATATTCCGTGGATCGTCGTTCTAATTCTTCAGGAAATCGATGGATTTACACTTACTGTCCCACTGCGCGATTGTCCCGCACTTCTCGCAGAGGATCTAGACATGTGTCGCGATCAACAGAATCTCGACGCTGATTTGCAAACGCTCGATGAATTCTCGGCAAGGTGACAACACGACAGCCTCGTTATCGAATGCGTTATCGTGAACGACGTCGACGAAGATAGCACGACGCATCCGAGCGTGCCCGAAGCCTTGTTGTCGCGGTAAATGGCGCGGAAATCCAGGTTGTACGTGCATCGACCTGAAGCCGATGATTATAAGTGTGTATCCACCTTCCTCGTCCCTGACCCGCTCAACCAGCGGCTTCGATGAATCACGTCGGAAGCTGATCCCCTCAGCCGACAATCGACGAAAATTCACACGCGGGGGAACCGAGATCTATTCTATCTCTCTCTCTCTTTCTTTATGTTGCTTCACTTTCCAATCAACTTCGAGGAGCGCGAGGAGATGCTTGTTTCACTGAAACGATTATTAAGATGCAGAGCGAGTCTTGAAGGTAAAAGTGAACCTGAACCTCTTTGTAAGCTTCTTTCGTCGACTTTTTCAAAACTATAGAGATTGTCAATGGCAGAAGATCGAGAAGATGGAGTAAATGCTATTCTATATATAAATCCATTTCACGCTTGATTACATTGAAAAAATAGCACGTAGACTTAGTATCAATATCGGGCTATTTTGATCTTTTGTCCATGGATTCACGGAAATTGAAGTGAATCAATAGCATACAGTCTACTTGCGTCAGAAATTTTCGGTGAGATTCAATCACCATACACTCATAAAAGCTTTAGTAATCTTTCACATAAAACATATCACATCCACTATGACGAAGAATAAGCGCAGCGACTGTCTAATCGAGTGTCTATACAAATGAAGGAAGTTCGCGCGAAGAATCGGAAATTATCTCTTCCGTTTTCCCTTCAACGATCTTCGACGAGTATGAGAAGATCCTTGTTTCGATAGAACGAGAGTGTCTTTTCTCTAGATAATCTTCAAAATTATCAACAGAAAAATATTAAAAGTGCGAAAGTCCATCTAAGAATAAATTACTTTTCCCTGTCAAATTATAGGTAGAGCTCAAGAGGAGATTACGTTCTCCAGGATACGCATAGGATGATCCTTTGCACGATTGGATTGTATGTTCCTGACATTTATTCTCTTGAATCTTTTTTAAATGATTCTGTAGCTCTTCGATAATAGAAGATCGTCTTCAATAACGAAGAAAATGATCCCCGGATAGAGTCGGAAATCTTCAATGACGGAAGATTATCGGGAACGTTGCAATAAGTGCCAGGTATCGGACTATCGGATAAAAACGAACTACTTCGTCCTCTCGAATCATTCACGGAGATTAAGTCGAAATTACGTTTCTCTATCGAAGATATTGCTGCTGGGATATCCGATGAGATTCAATTACGGTGCACTCGCGAACATTTAATAATCTCCGATGTAATATGCATTCCTATGCGAAGAAGGATAAGTGCGATATAATGAGGGACATACATGTAAAGGCTCGCACCTTTCGTGAGATCTCGCTAATCTCAGATACCGAAAACACAATCGAATGTAAATATTTCAAATGACCGAATGAATTATTTGCAATGATATCCAAATTAATAGCGTATATTTAAAATCGTACACCCACACTGTGTAACATTCGCACTTTAATTCACGGATAATCCATTGACGGCGAATCCTATCGCGAAATCGACTCGCATTCGAAAATCACCCGCGGTGACACCTAACGATCTGATTGTCGGTTCAAGATTCCTCGCGCGTCATCGACAACACATGTTCGCTATAGAGATAAGAAACGAAAATTTGCCGAGACAACCCCGGTCGGAACACGGAAATACCCGGATCAAATTATCGGAGCCGATCGCGAGACGCGATCGAGATCGAAGCACCGCCGAGGGAGGTAGCGGGTTCTCGGACGCGCACAGAGAAACCGAGCGCACACACGGCGCAGGTAAGAGCGGTTTCTCCCCTTGCATCGTGCATCGGCTCGCCGCAGAGAGAGGGAAATGGCGAAACCATGGAGTGGTGGAGTCCGAGTGCTGCTGCGAAATACGCGGGGGAAGGGAAAGGGATACGAGCCGAGGATCTATGATATCCCATGGTGGATCGAGATCGACGATGGCCGATGATCGGAAAAAACTCGGCAAGAACAACCCTCGGATGATTTTATCGATTCCCCCATCCGCATACATTGCCCAGCGATATTTCTTATATTCCCTCGTAGAATCCTATCATCCCGTTTTTGTGGAAGCCTCTAAAATTTTACTTATATCGCTTGCTATGTATATTTTAAGAATTTTGATAAACTGTCGCTTCTATCATACATATCACACACTATCACAAATGATTAATTTGTAAAATATAAATATTTTGTAAATAGAGTAAACAAAAATTGGCGAACATTGATGACACACTCTCTTTTTCGCCGAAATTGTAAAATAATATATCAATTGTAAAGAATGTGCGTAGCTGAAGAAGTCTCCATATAAAACCATATTTTAAACATAAAAAGTAAATTTTTGGCTTATCTTATATAAATTACACGATATCGTTTAATTTTTTTAATTTAACTTGAGTTTATTAGACTGACAGTAAAATTTTATTGCGATCGCGCGCAATTTTTCGTCAAAGTATTTCGCTTCGAATAAAATATGAGAATTATATTTTGGAAAGGAAAGAGGAGAACGTTGCAGGCAGAGCGTATATTCAAGTCGCAATTTTACGCGTAAGTGAATCGACTAACCCCTGACTGTCAGTTGGTTCCTGTCTAAAGCAACAGGTGCTCGTCAACCGCTGCCATGTGGCCGTTGCACGAATGGAAGGAAGCACGCATACTCCTTACTATACGAGACACATTTTCTTCTAAATATACGCGCGATGGTAAAAAGAATTTAAAATTTTTTTCTCCTAAATATAAAAAATATATTCTACTTGCGCATCTTTGGACCTAAAATAATGGCAAATAAAAATTCTCCATGGATTCTTTACCAATCCTTTAATTATTCATATATTGTGTTTGCTGGGAGGGATTTACAGGTGTACATTAAATGTTGGGACTAAAACACCTATGCGCGTGACTCTTCGCGGGTACAGCTGAGGCCCGCGTAAGTCTACAAATGGTAATCTTAAATATGTGTATTCGAAATATGTATTTTTACTTATATATATATATATATAGTAATCGGTAGATTCTCTCCGCATCTACACATACGGTAGACAGATATACAAAACATCGTATCGTACAAAATAGTAGCAGTAGTATCACCTATCAACTTCGTTCCAACGGATGATCCGCTACGCACGGTACAGATTATGATCAGAGTTCGTCGAAATATTCTTTTCAAAAACACGACAATTCTAAGAACATATTTATGAGAGAAATTAACAAGCTTCTCCCTGGTCCTTTTGTATCTCGAAAAGCGCTTAGCTTTTCATTTTCTAATAAATATATATTATATGTATAGCGACATAAATAATTAATTTAAAAATTCGATGTGTATACCTATATTGTTACCAATAAAATACCATACGTAGCGGTTTACTAATGGAAATGAAATTCGAAACTTAACATATACACGAGATTTAATGTACGTATATACAAAATCGTGATACAGGGCGTAAAGTGACACAATCGCATCTATCAAAAGATATTAGAGATAAAGCAACCAATATATAAGGGACAATATTTTAAATTTGAAACCTTTTGCAAATTCAGAAAAACACAAAGTACATCTGAAGAACGTCCAAGAGACTCGGAAGAATAAATTGTTGCATTTCTAGAAAGATTCGATAAAAACTATTCTTTACGATATTTTTCAAACATACGTGTTGTTTTTACGTGTCAATAAAAGTTTCTTATTTTTTTTAAACATACGTTCTCTGCAATGATTTTTCTACCTCGTTTCTCCTACTTTTCAAAACGTGCGACAGAGTCATTTCACGCAAAAGTAGCCTGTATACATACGTATATCTTGAAGAATTTTGCTAAGGTGTTGGTCTTTGTACTGTTGTAAAGCGTTAATAAATAAGCGCGGGGAATGGATTTCGATGCGGGATAGGGTCAACGAACAAACGAACGAAACTGAAAAGACGGGAGACATTTTTTTGTACTATGATTCAAGTTTTATTAAACAAATTAAATACAAAAGATTTTCTGTTGTTTGCTGTCCGCGTTTTATATATATAGCCGAATATCTCGGGGTTATAAATAATTAAAATAACAGAACAAGGCGTGGTATAAATAAAAAAAAAGAGACGCTGAGCGAGAAAAGGTGTGACCCGTCTTAACTTTCGTTTCCCGAATAATAAACATTCTCACTTGCTTGTATTGTACTGTTACGAACAGGATTTCTCTAAAAGAAAAAGAGCAAAAATCAAGTAACGCATCCAGGCTTCTTTAATTCGAGACTTGATTTATATCGCTAACTAAAGTTTCACGGATTTACCAAAATATTTAAAGTTTGAATTTTCACCGAGAATTCTGCATCTCAAAACACTTGTAATCCGTATATATTTTATTCTGTTATATATGAAAAGTTGCTTTTTTATATGAGAGATTCTTATATTTGAAAATTGTTAGATACGTGCCAATAATTATATAGAATAAAAAGAGCACAGAATTATTCACAGAATTCTCGATAAAAATTCATCGATATTCTTTCCGAAAATAATAAATAAATGCACGTGGAATGCACGTAGAGCCTGGTATGTCTAAAAAAGATGAAAGGAGAAAAAATAGATTTGTCGCGTCAAAACTGAAGAAAGAAATTGATTTAGTTTTGATACTGCATTTTACGAAGAATCTTAATTACCGGTAAATACGCTTAAAAGTTTCTTCGAGAACGTTGGATATTAATGTTTAAAAGTCGTTAGGATATGTACAAAGAGATATAATATTTGAATATGAAGTAAATATATTGGATTCTCCAATGTCCCGAAAGACCGAGCTGGACCACATTCCCTCCCGATCCTTCGGGATCACTGGATATTAACGTCGAAGAGTCACACAGTCTTCGTGGATGTCGAAATTGGTCTTTTAATAAAAAAAAAAAGAAGAAAACACGATTGAAAAAGGAAAAAATAAGCAATAACAATATTTAATGGCAGTCCATTAAATGAGGATTCCTTTTCTTTCTTCTCTCTTTTTTTTTAAACGGTCAGAAGAGGAAAATGTGTCGAGGGTCTACAAAACACGGCAAGACGAAGTTTGGAATGTAATTAATGATAGAGATCCGAGTATCCAGAAAAGTACTGTGTTGACTCTCGATACTCTCTCGTTCTCTCACTTTCATACATGCACGCACACACACACGCTCTTTCACATTCTCTCCTTCTTTCGTGCACTCTTTCGTTTTCTGCATACTTGACAATCGCAAAAACGGTGCCTGGGTAATTAGGCCCTCTTTGCTAACGCGTCGATACACATCGTGCACGCGAATTACAGTTCCTTTATAATACTTGTAAAAGGACTCGAGTCTCATATAAATGGACAAGAGCATATATCTGCGTGGGTATGTGAATGTGTGTCGTGTATACACGTATTTCTATGTGTATGTAATATACATGGATAAACTTACGATAATAAGGTAAACCGCTTTTTCCGTACCGACATGTAAAGTAGCGAAAAATTTTATTTGCTTTTCCTCCTTTTCGCCCTTGCCCTCGAATTCTATGATATACGATCTAAAGAGGTTCCTTTCACACACATTGCGCAAGAATAAAACTAACAGTTACCGATATTGATAAAATAACGAAGGATGTAAACCTGATGATAACATTGAATAAAGTATCGAACTAAAGATGGTGAAATTGAGAAAACAATAACTTACTTGCGAATTAAAATTCGTTATGTGTGTTTCGTAAAAATAGATGGAGTAAAGTATAGTTTTTCGTGACTTGTAAATGCAAGGATACGCTTAAAAAATTTACACTGTTATGAAAAACTATAATCTCGATCGTGGCCAGTTAATCTTCGAGAAATTTTTTTTCTTTTGTACTTGATCATTCATCATTAAAATTCAACAAAAAAGCATAAAACTATTAACTTCTCTTGTAAAATTTAAATCATCTGAGCCAGATTGACAATAGAAATCTTTTAAAAGCAAGGCGATTAAAATAGAAAAGATGGTTTCGAATTAAATTAACTAAATCTGAAACAATTAGAAATGTTTCTATTTCCTTATTTCGATAAAAAAAAGAGGCAAATCTTTTCAATTCTTAAACCTGTAAAATGTCGGTGGAACGCGATCGTGTTAGACACGAGAGTCAACCGCGCGATCCTAAACATTTCACATTGAATCTTTGTCTTATCCTTCGTGTATCCCTGCTTCCCCTCGCTAAATATTATATAACGCTATGCTATTTACACCAACTTATATTACTACGGGACACTAAAGATTAACCTACCAAGTATATATATATTACAGGACACGTCGTCATATTCAGACTTTCTCTGGCGACACGCGCAGTATATATATAACATCTTTGGACTCGGTTTTATTACACATTTATATAGAATATTATGATCGCTTTCTCGTCTAATTCGCTTCTCGTCATCTCGTGAGAGCTCACAAACATCTAACAACTCGAGAAGTGTTCCCCTTCAGTCTAATAAAAGAAAAATACTCTCCTATACTCCGTCTCCTGCTTACCGGCATTCATTAGCTATTTGATACTTTCCAGTACATTGTATAAATATTTTAACGCTTGAGATTCTCTCGATGGTTCCGTCAAATTTGTCACGGGGATCCTTGGAAGACAAGCGTTCTGCTTAAATAAAAATTAAACGCCTTTATCTTGCAGTAAAGCATAAGTAGGTTTCGTCCACGCAAAAAATTTCCCACGCGGCTTAAAAGATAGTGTCGATATATTAACGGCCATCGAATACACCATCGAATAGGATATTGGCTATCGAATGTGAAACCACATTTATAGGAAAAAACTTTGCCTATCGTTCCTACATTCTCTTTTCGTAGCGATTCGCACATGATATCTGAAAACGATTTTGGCCGCGTAAAAGAAATAATACGACAAACAATTAAAACGGTAACCGAAACTCGGCGAGATTCGTGGACCACTTAAACCGCCGACACTTGGGCGTCTTCGTCATCTGTAACATTTCGAAATGTGTTTTAGTATGTGACATGTCGCAAGTGTCAGGTATGATGATCGGAATATACGAGGGACTCTAATTTGGGTAGATATCATCTAATCGCGTGCAATTCTGTTCGATTTAATAATATCGATTCAAATCGGAGCAAAAATATGTGATAAAAATATCTCAAGCAAAAAGTAACACAAAGATTTCTGCTAAAAATTAAAAATTATTGCAAAATATCCCATGCTGGATATTAAAGCAATTTACAATTTCTCGTATTTATTTTCTATATTTTTACTGATTTTAGAGTCTCTCGCTAATGCGATGTCTATAAACAAAATATACTTCGTTATTTCTTTCTCTGGCTCTAGATCTCTAATTATTTTGAAATAAACTAATTCAAGAAAAATCAACAATTAATGCAGATAATGCAAACAAAAATGGATCAAGGGTAACACGTGCGACATGGATGCAAATAGCGAATCATGCTTTGACATTACGCAAGAGGTAAATTGTGGAAACAAATCGCATATAATTTTTTATAACATTTCAATGCAAAACAAATTCAATGATAATAGGCAAGCTAGTGTATTATGCAATAATCACTAATGTAAATATTGACTTAATGCGGGCAATTATCATGATTATGCATTATGAAATTACATGACCATTGCTGAATGAGTGCGCTACATAATCACATTAATTAAACACAAGCTTTCAACGTGTTGTACAAGCACGTTTTGTTCACATTTACACGTAAATATAATACTTATTTACAATGTGATTATATCATGTGGTACCGATCGTTTGATCCGATCGGCTAATAACAATACTATCACTGTGTTTATGATTATGTTCAAGATTGTATTCAAAATTGTATTCATGATTACGTTCAAAATTTAATTTCAATCGTGTCATAATATATCCTTTTTATAAATAAGAAAAACTGTCTCGAAAAAAAGTGACTTGCAATATATTTAAACCAACACTATACGTGTATACCAGAGGAAAAAGATTGCAATCTTTAAAATCTTGCTATATCCAACTAAATGATGATACACAAGAATAGAAAATACATAACAAGATCAGATAAAAGTCATTTTTGATAGAACGGGCACTGTGAAAAAAAAAAACGTTGAAAAAGAAAAAATCGTTAAAAGCGTTGCAAATGAAAAAATTGTCGTAAAAATACGAAATATTACATCCGATGTAATGTAAACTGACAAAATACTTTTGCCAATGCAAATCAGCACTCTTCGCCGTGCGTAAATATTAACAATGGCAAATATAAGAAGCCTTAACACGAGCGTAAACCGAATAGATGTATATAAATATAAACGTGAGGGTGAATTGTGTGTGTGTGTGTGAACGGTAGAGCGATTTGGTTAGATGTAGTAGTACCATCTTCATGATCGGTGGCCCGATAAGTGACCCCCTCGTGGCTGTTAGCACGACCGAGTCTGTGCAATCTTGCCATCTGTTGCGCGACTTTGTACGCCGGTGGTTGACGGCACTGCGGCGCGCTACTCATGCCGGGTCGCATCGTTGTGATCGACGACATGTTTCCCGACGACATGGTGCCCATAGTCGTCATTATGGTCGTGGTCCCCGCTCCGGGCGGTGGCAGCGGGGCTGGCATCCCTAGGCCCATGCTTAATCCCGTAGTACCTGAAAACCCTCGACTCTCTCGATCTCTCTTTCTCTCTCTCCCCCTTTCGCGCGCCGCCGCCTTCTCCCACCTCCTCAATATTCTTCATCTCTCAGCGACAAAGCGATTCGCTACCGCTACCTTCTCGGACACTGTGCTTGTAAACGAGCGCTTACGAGAATGCAAAGAGCATCGAGTTTATGCCCGTTACATAGAATTCTAATTAACAGAATAGCCATTACGAGTTCGAGTATCTTGGGCGAAATCTTAAAATATTTCGCTTTGAGCTTTTATAAAAAACTAATTACATTCAAAAAATACTCATGAGAATATATCTAAAAAAAAAAAAAAATTCAACAAAAATTAAGAAAAATAAAGACACAAAATTCTCATTTGTAACATTCAATTTTTGTTTTTCATATTTTTAACTCGTACTTTTTCACGTCATCGTAATACAACATTCGCCATCATATCTAATTTTGTAATACATTATCTTTTATAATTATTATTATAATTAAAATATATTTATAATATCTATTATAGTTATTATTTTTTATAAATAAAAAATGATAAAAATGAATAATAAATATGCTCGACTTCATTTTTTATTCTTTATAAATAAAACAGCACTGCCATTCAACTATCATTGAGAAAGGTAATTTGCGCTCGCTTACAAGAGCGAAGTCCACGAGAAGCGAACGAGTTTAAAGGAAACCGCAAGATACATTCGCCGCTATACAACCTACCCAAGAGAGAGAGGAAAAAAGCACACATATACCGTTTCGCGTATGGTTAGTACCCTGGAAAGAAGGCGCTCTGTTATATCTTCGCTAATACTATGGGACACGCAAATACACAAATGGAACAAACTCGATGCAGCGTGTTGCGCTTCTAGGCCACGCTAGAAGCGAACCGTAATACTATGTCACCAGCCGTGCATACTAACAGACTTGTACGATAATTAATGATTAGAACGGGCGAGAACGTCACGCACAGAGAGATTCAATACACCCTCGTGAAAGGCAATTTCCATCCAGTTCAGACAAAGCTCAAGCCTGTGTAAAGATGCTGGAGATTGGCAAGGTTGTAACATCTACCACTCGCAATATTTCAGTATACTGTTTCGCATGCACACACTGTTCCATCAAATTCTATGTATTCCGTTTCAGAGAGAGAGAGAGAGAGAGAGACAGCAAGATTAACGCAATGATTCAATGCAAGCCAGACAGACGAAACAGGCAGACAGACGCGAACTCACCTTGAGGAGTTGGGGGTTGGTGATGAAGATGATGATCGTGATAATGTTGTTGATGATGATAATGATGGTGGTGGTGGTGATGATGATTGTGGTTGTGATTCTGATTGGCAGGAAGCGGAGGTAGCACCGCTACCGCATGAGGAAACGGAGGCGCTCCGCCTCTTATAACAGACCCTGCACCACACAGAGAGGCCACATACGACATTTTTTTTTTTTTAACGAAATCTACAGACTTGCGCCGTTTATTGTAAATCCTCGAAAGAGGACGATCCTCGGAACGAGAATTCGACGCGATTTTTGCGATCGATGCAAAATATTTTTGGAAGCCGGCGCACGAGATTAAGCGAGTGACTAGCCGACATAATAAGCTGTAAAGCGAATTTTACAAAAGCGTAAGATAGAACGGTTTAATAAGCGGCTGAAAGCAGAATTGTTATGCTACATATATATATTTGCAGTGCTCGACGATGCGAATATCAACGCGAAAACGCACGTAATGTTTAATAATAATATTTAATTCTTTAGATGTTAAACTAACATTTAGTAGTAATTTGATTATCGCTTAAAGGCAAATGGCCATGGGACATACGTTCTTTAGTGGTAAAATTTAACGACTCCCCAAAAAAGCAAACAAATAATAATTAAAAATTATAAAATAATATTATATATAAATTAAAAAAAAAAAAAACATTTCTCTAAGATAAACTAAGCTAAGCATGAAAGATATTTATTTCAAGATATTTATATCGAATATTTAAACAATATCTCTCGTATGCACGCAACATACACATACAATATGAAATTGTTAAACGCAACGCATAAAGAAAAGAAGGGGAAGAGAAAGGATAAATAATGTAAAATGGAATATCACACATTACATATGTTATAATGAACTCACTTATACTGCCTACGGTACCGAGTCCACGACCAGCGTACTTCATCCACCAAGGGGCATCATCCTTGGCAACAGGGTCCTGTCCAGGCCTCTGCATAATCGATGCTATTTTTTCGCCAAACGACTAAAAAAAAATGCACACACATTATGATATATTACGAACACGCACATTTTGTCGGTAGATGTGTTTAAAAGCGAATTACCATGTTCGATGTTATCCTTTCGTTCTCGTCAGCTGAGATCGTTGACAGCACCGCTGGCTGATGTCCACCGATATTCGATATCTGTTGATGTTGGATGTTGGTCGATGTACGGAAAAATCGACCCGCTAGTTTCGCAAAAAAAAAAAAAACATTTGATAATATTTATTATTCAACCTATAAATAATTAAACTCAAGTATATTCATCGGAAATTATTAATAAATTTAAATTGTGAATATGAATATTCAAGGATAAATGTTAGACATTGAAACTGCGATATAATTTTGCTCGATTTCAATTTTGATGCTACAACATTACTGTATTTCTCAAATATCGGAAGTCATTATTGTATGTCTAACAAAATTTAGATTCCGAGGTTATCTCGATCTCATAATTCTTAATTAATACTATCAACATTACTAAACACAACAACAATTATATAACACGTAATCCCCTGACAACATAAAAAACAAGACATATAATGCAAAAAACAACAGTTTACGTAAAACAATAAAACAAACATCGGATGGGTGTATAAAGTATAAACCGTAATCTTACATCGTAAAAATATATCCAGCTTTCATCGCTAAGAAGACACGCTGAGAGAAATTCAATTTCCAGAGTCGGTGTCCGCGCGAAAGAGACTCTACTCTCTATCTCTACTATTTCTACTACGGTCTACGAACAAGAGGAACAGCACACGAGCACAGTTGGCCACAATCCGTTCTCTCGCTTCACTCTCGTGTTGTTGTTGATTACATACCTTGCAGAGCGGAGTGCCGTCTTTGCGGTGGCGGTGGGCTGCCGCCCGCTTCCACGCTGCTCCCACTGTGGCTGTCCAGCTGAGTGCTATGACCGCTGTCACTGCTCGTCACCGAACCTACGCACACGTCCCCAAGACACTTCTATCACTACACACGTTCCAGCCGGGGGATTATCCGACCTGATGCGATCGCTAAACACACTATCGTCTAGTCGGGGCGTTCGTTCGTAATCCGTGTCTCTTTGCTCTAAATCGAGCCAACGCGAGAACCTGATATAAGCTGATCATCTCGCTACGCTCTGATTGCATCTCTTTTGCACGTTCCTATTTATCTTTCCTGCCGTCTACAAGTATTTAATTCTATCAAAGTAATCGACGAATATATCTTATGTACGCGACTTATGTTAAAATTGTAATACGCGATTTCCTATACGATAATTAGAAATTAGATCGTACTCGTATAAATATTTAATTTAGATTACTCATGCTGCACATTATTTTTTATATTTACTAGAATATTTTAAAATTGTCGTAAGAGAGACATTTAGTGATTTTCTATTTCAAATCATTAAAAACAGAATAGATATCGATATCGTTACGACTCCGTATGTCCCATGGTACGAGAGCTCCGAATCGAAGCCGCACTTTGTTTTGAATTTAGGTTCGTGATGTCTAATCGAAAAGAAAAGCTCGCGCTACAATAATCGGCGTACAAGATGCGTGTGTATATGTATGTGTGTGTGTGTGTATGTGTGTAAATGTATGTGTATATATGGATCAACTAAATAACATGGAACATTTATGATTGCGTAAACGGCTGTGCAGCGTGCATAATAATGAGACTCCTTGTTGCGAGACCTGACCAGTGTATGTAACGAGCAATGAAAGTGCGTGATGGTGCTTCGCGAGATGCGTATCTACCAAGTTAATATTTATATTTGATTAACAATCTATTAATATAATATATATGTATAAATAATTTAAAAAGTTATAAATAAAAAGCAATTAAAAGTATCGCAACAGATAAAATAAATTTTCAGATCTATTTGATCAGAACGATCCGTCTATAAATGAGGTTTTTAGAAAAACCTAGAGAATAAGTATAATTGGATAGCATCTCGCTTCAAACCATTTTGTAAGAAATAAATTGTACTCACCGCTTGTCAAGGTTTTCCTCAGCGGTTGAAGATTGCTCAAGCTAGTTACGCTACTGCTCTCCGCACTGAGGTCGACAGGCGGCGGTAGACTAGCGGGTGTATCACTGTGGGATCGCTCGTGCATTGGTACTCTGCTGCCGGATCCTACTCTTCTAGGTGCACCTGGACTAGGTTCTAAACCACTCGAGTGTAGAGCCAATCCCGGTACAGGTAGCGGCGGTGGACAGTGCTTAGGTTGGTATGGTCGTGTCTTGTGAGGATCTGACAGAGCCAACATTTTCCTCACCGCCTGCGGCGACGCAGCGCCGAATTTTGTACCTGTAGAATCCATAATCAATACAAATTATAAGATAAAATTCTTAAAAAAAAATCAATTACAAAGCGCAATTAGTAGAAAGATTTACTAACCTTGTATACTTTTCCTGCCTTCGCTAGTGCTGCTCGCGCTACTAGTAGTCGACAGAGTAGGTGACGGATGCCTTCTTCCGCGACTGCCACTCAGCGGAACCGCGGCGGCGACTGCAACCGCTCCCGCGTGCGGCTCACAATCGACGGAAAGTTGATGCAGTCGTTCTTCATCCGTGATTACTTTCATGTTCGCAAGATAGGCCTTCACTCTTCGGACCATCTGCGCTTCCTCAAACATTTTCTTCGGATTTGGTGCGGCCGTGGATTTCTTTCGTCGTTTCACCGTCGCAGTTTGGCCGCCTATAAATCACAATATCACAGTTGTGTATTAACTATTTAAGAGATGAAACCAGTAACAACAAAATAGTAAAAAAATATTTACCTTGATTGCCAGTGGTCATTTGATTCAAAGCAACCATCGCAGAACTCGGTGGTTGCCCGCCTCTCTCCAACATGGTTAGTAAATCATAGGGTGAAGAGCACATGTTTGTCAGCGTTCTTACTTCCTTAGCAATCATTCTGAGTTTTTCAAAGTTTACCAAACTTTCTACTCTCGAATCATTACCAAGATGTATGAAAGTCAAATCTTTCTTCACGACCGGATAGAAAGGTATCTAAAATAAAATTTGTTTAACTCGTTATCGATCATTTAAGGCTGTCATAGCATAAGCTCGAATTGTAGATCGCTATACGCTATCGAAGTAAATGACAATAAGAGATATCTTATTTGATATAATATATATATAAAAGACGATAACTCACTATCGGTGGTTGTGTTTGCTCAGACGCCACCAATTGCCGATATTTACTCATGTTGCGGCTGGGATCCATTAATTCCTGCAAATCACTAAATAATCTTTGATATTTAGTTGGTAGTTTTTCCCACGAGGCTCTTAATCTTGACACTGCACCATGACCCAAACCGGACACGATCGCGAACATTGAATTAAAATTTTTGCACTCCTTACATTGGCCTGTTAAAAAAAACATTGTTGATAAAATGGATATAGAAGATAAGTACAGAAAAGAATATATGTATATTCGGTAGATACTTACGCGCTATTTTGATAAATTGTTTTATAATCTTACTGCGCCGCACGAGATTATGCTCGGAACAGACTTCTGTTACAACCCAAAACATTTCTCTGTTGACTAGTTCTGCAAATTGACTGAGCATAGGCACGCCATACCTGCTCTTCAATTCAAACAAATCATCCACATATTCCGTGGACTCGATTTGTCTGTAACGCAAAATATGTAAAAATAAATTTATTGTCGTCAAAATGTATAATTAAACCTAATAATTCCAAGTACAATTCGTAAAATATATTTATATACGTTTTCTACATCTCGTAAATATCCTAAATTACCTGAATATACTAAAATCCTGTAGAGTCAGTTGTATCGCCACTTCCACGGCGTTCAATTGCAGAAAATGAACTTGAGATTCTCGAATGAGTTCCGGAGCTTGATCGTCGGCTACTAAAGTTTCGGAAATTCCATTAGTTTTCAAATAATATCGGGAACTCAATCCGATTCTTTCCGCGAGATTCTGCAATTGATCTGGCAATCTACGCTGCTTGATCATGCCACCTTCGCCGACACTCACTTCTGCTAGAGAAAAGTTTGAACTGCTTTCCGTTATACCAAATTCTTGAAGCGCAAGCATTACCACCTACAATAAATTAAACGTCAGTAAATAAAATCTTTCTATTTGTTATTTAATATCGGTAACATAAATTTACGTACCTCATGTGCCGTCGTTTCTTTGTGGATAAGAAGATATTTGCAGGTTTGATCTGCTTTGTATACCTTGAGCACGTGTTCGGGATAATCGTTTGCTCTTAAGTCATCGTAACAATAAAGTGACGTAAGATCTGGATTACTCTTTGAGTGATACAGATTAGTGGTTGTCTGCGAAAGCCCTGTTCCCGGTGGCGTATGTGGTGGTGCAAGAGGATCGTCCATGTGTACACCGTCGCTGTTAAAATTATAAGATATTTTGTATCAACAAAAGATTCACGCATTAATTATCATTTATTCCGCAATATGCTTCAATGCACTTACTTGATTGTGTTCTTTGGCAGTATGTTCATCTTCATAAGTGCTTTTTGTAATCGTCGCTTGGGACCAAGAGTCATAAATCCCTTGTGCTCTTTTTTGGCATCTTTACATGGCGATACATTGTTATCGGGAATTAACAATGGTACTCCACCGATCATGGGATTTAAAGGATTTACAGCAGTCATAGGATCCACATGCGTCGACAGTCTAGCACGTGGATCTGACTGAAGCCTGGGTATTTCCGGCTTACTTGTCCTACCTCGGGGTCTCGGAGAGTTATCTGGCATCTGAAGCATTTCTTTGAAAGCTATAAGAATAAATAATTAATGGTAAAGAACAGACATTTTATTATCGATTTTGGTTTCAAAAAGACGATTAGACTCACCAAGTAAATTAGATTTTACAGTTATACTGAGGTGCGTGGAAGCTCTCAGGATATCAAGTGCTTTCGCGTGATTCACATGCTCGAAACTTTGACCGTTCACTTCTAAGATCTGGTCACCCCTTTTTAAACCAACATCCTCAGCCTTAGATCTCTTGTCAACTTTTGAAATAAATATACCAAAACCTCTCTCAAATCCTCCTAAGATGCTAAAATTTAGGACCTCGTCTCTGTTTGGTCTCGCTAATGTTACGTTCCGCGTTCTCGCTTTCGCCGCACATGCAATATTTAATAACCTGAAACAATTATGTATACATACATAATAATTGTATTTCTTAATGCTCTAATTCATGTCCTTTTCCACAAAACAAGATGGAAAAAAATGAATTTTACCTTTGTTGTCCTAGCATTTTTTCTCTTTCCAATCCGGTTTCGAATGCTTCTAAAAATTCCATCATCGCCGGATCAGTCTCGAAATCAGTAAAATGATTATTCACCCATAAGAGCACGACACGAGCAACACGATCTCGCACTTGTGATTGATCGAACCATTCCAACAATTGGCTTGCGACCAACAACGGGCTATCGATAAACGTTCGATGAGTCAACAAAAAGTCTTCTACATAAGTAGGATCTGTAATACTGTTTTCTTCGATAAGTTGTAACATTAAACGTTCCGGTGTTCCCCGTATCACCACGTGACCTCTTCGCGCGGCGCCGTCCAAAGCTCCTCGTAACTCTGTCACTAAAATTACCCTTCCATTCTCTTCGTGTCTCCTGGTATTCTCTTCACCTTGATGTTGAATTCGAAAATAATCTGCTTGTGTGACGCAAACAAATTGGCAATCGTCGCATCTGCAAAAAAGAAAACGCGTTTGTTTCCTTATATTTTTCTATATAACAGTCGATATAAAAGTAGAAAAGAAACGGATTACAAACTTTGTTCTCATAACTCCGCGATGTAATAGCCTCTCCATAGTAGGCAAGATACCGAAGCTGTCTCCAAGACCGAGCTGTTCAATTTCACCATTGCTGTGCTCAATCTCGACAGCACCGTTAATCAACACGCTCCAACTATCGAGCTCCTCGCCATCATTCAAGACCACCATACCGGCTCGATCGACCACTGCAAATACCATTACAGCGCACAGCGCTCTTCTAACGGCCAAAGTCATATTTGTGAAAGCTTTCAACTGTTGTGTGAATTCCAAAAGTATCTCTATGTCGTCCTCCGTTCTCTCAACAGGGTCCTTCTCTAAACATTCTCGTACAGGATCGCGTACTGTTAAACTCTAAAACATCGCAATAACAGAAATTAAAATGCATATAATATATCTCTAAGCAAAAAAATTAAACCGCAGTACTTACATCCATGCTTTCTGCTAGATCCTCCTCCTCATCGCTGTCAACAATGGATTCCACAAGACCAGAAAGATCCACCTCGTCGGGATCCGCATCTAATGAACTTTGTACCGATGTCATTGTGTCAGATCCACTGTATGCTGAACTTGTGTCACTCGAATGACTGCTTCTATTTGATTTCTGGTACAACTCCGGCCTGCCTGTCAGGCCCTGTGCGAACTATAAAAGAGAATTTTTATCAGTCCATTTAATATGATTTTTAAATTCCTTATTAAAAGATTTGCTTGTGTGCATAATTTTTACATAAAATTATATTATGATTTATAAACTGTCTTTACATATTATTCTTACAAATAAATTTGAAAATATTTCATATCAAACAGTTTGATGAATCTCATTTTTTTATCTCTCATTTTTTCTAAATATTATATATTAATATATATATAAATTTATTATCATACATAGCTAAAAATTAATATAATAAAATTTTGATATAAATGACAATATATTTGACAAAAGATATTATAATGTAACTAGATATATATATATATATACACAGACTAAAATATGACATTATATAAATTCTACAGAATGTTAGAAGTCAATAAGATGTTATATGATAAAAGTTATTAATGACAGAATAAAAGAAAACAATGAATGAAAATTGAGAAACATATTAATAAAAAGAACTCATCTGTCATTTATACAAATATATCTACACAAGTGTTGTATACAAAGAGCGGAATAAATGTAATATATACATAATAACAATATATATATATAATTCAACATCTCCACCTATGATGCCTCCTAACCTTTCTCTGGATTATCAATTTTTAATTAATAATAGCAACGAGCATTTAAGATTGCCTAACGATAATTCGTGAAAGGGAAATTTACGAGGACAACCCACACGCTATTCCTCCATTCGATTAAGATGACCTGTGCCTACATCGCGAGAAACAAAACATCATCGACGACGAGGATACCGCTAGCTCGCTAGGAATAGCAAATACCAAGAATGGGCGTGATTGGGACAGTTGACGGTTAGGTTAGGTCACAGAGAGACATGACATCACGCACGCATGCACGCAGATCGTATGTGCATCGGGCGCGGATACGCTTGGTCGCATGCGCGCACATACACATCCGTCATCCAAACAAAACATCTACAACGATGTCCGCGCTGTCATGTCATCAGGAGAGGCGTACACCCCGCGCTCTCCAGGAAGGGGATGGCGCGTCCGCGAAGGAGTCAAGGCCATTTTGAGTATCCCCGAGAGGTGAAGAAGCACTCACTTGGTACATGCCGTACGCGTCCATCGCGAGAGTCGCACGATCCTCCTGTGATCCTGTTGTTCTTATCTTCCTTCTTAGCCGAGAGAATCACGGCAGATTTGACGAATCGTCCGCGACTACGGGCGTCCGCAGCAACATTTTCTTACGCGCCGATTGTGTTCTTTTCTTATTTGGCGTGCCGTATCGCGCGTGGACACGAATCGAGACGCGCGACGCGGCGCGGCGTGACCCTCTTTGTACAGCTTAGCACGAAACTCGTGACGCGTCCGACCGAGACCGACCGTCCGATCCGTTTGTCTGTCCGTCCGTCTGTCGTCGTCGATGCGGCGGACCATCAACTTAGCGGACTGCCTCTCGTCCCGCTGCCACCCTCGCCGTGCCACCGCTGGCATTCCCTTCGAGAACGCAGGGTAGTCACGTGACCCCGCCGCGCCGAGCGGCTCCTCAGGCTCGTGTCAACGGGGGGCGCATCGTGCCGGCCGGCGAAGAAACGATGCCGGGCCACCTGTAGCTTCCGCACGCGATGCCGCATTTTTTTTGTCCTTTTTTTTTCCTTTTTCTTTTTGAATGAAAATTCGGAGAAATTCTTCTCGTTTTCTTGTTCGTTATAAACGAGATTATAAATTGCGAAATTGAATCCAATTCTTGACAAGCTGACAGTAAAATGCCAAAAACTAGGCATTTATTTTTAAAACTTTAAATTAATAACATTTTTTACACATTAAGTTCGAATTACATTTGCTTTTTCTATATAATTATACTAAAGTTTATTATCATAAATCAATTAATGAATAATCTTTATCGTTTGAGAATAGAAATTTGAAATATGCAAATATATACGAACAGAAACCTATATATTTGATAAATAAGTTTGATAGATTATATCAGCTAATCAATTCTTGAGAGAAGCGAAAACAAAAATAATAATAAAATAATGATCGACTAATGTCGATATGTAGAAATTTGGTTTGACAACTACCGGAAATTGAATTAGATTTTGTTATTTATGTCAGAATAGGCAATGGCTGGAAATTTAATGAAAATTCGTCGTCCATACAATACAAATATTACCTGGACATTTAATTAGATTAATTAAATTCCGTCGCACTAACTACACATATCTCTTACGATCAATATTTATTCTAATTTCATGGTTCACAAATACAACTAGAATTTGCGCGTCTCTTAAAAACTAATCTCAATATTTGCAATAGATTAATTAGTTATAAGTTATATATAAAAAAATTTATATCCATTAAGATTGATTTCATTACAATACTCACGCGCAATATAAATAAAATTGCAGCACAGATTAAAAATAAAAATTGCACGATAATGATCTGTAATTTATTAATGCTTACAGTCGGACTATGTTGGGAGAGAAGGGTTGCGAATGCAATTTGCGGCATGGGAACAGGGAATTTAAATAACGGCAACCATATCTGGATTCGTGGGAGATGGTTACTTGATGAGTTTAGAAGCGATTTGAGATGATGAGCGATTATGAATAATTATGAATTTACTTTACGTGGAATTGCATTAAAAAGAGGAAATAGGAGGAATAAAAACCGCGATGTATAAAATTCTCCTTGAATTCTTTCAAATGATATATGTATAGCATTATCAATTCGAAATCTTTTCGGATTTGATCGAAATCTTTTTATCATGACTTTAATTAAATATTAATCTATTTTAATTAAATAATGGAAATATGTAATTATAAATTTTAAAACTAACTTGTAAAATTTTACAATAGTTTTAAAATTAAAATCACTGATAGACGATAAATATATTGTAATATAAAAAGAAAAAAGATATGTTTATAACAAATCACGATTAAATTCACGATAATTGCAATCGGATGTAGATGCTCGATGATAATCTCATGACGGTAGAATATAACATAAATAACTGAGATTAAAAATAACGATAACGCTCGATATGTAATACAACCTACTTCGATTTGCACACCCACGCGATTGTTAGTAGGAACAGCCAGTCGAACGTAACGTCATAAGAATATTGCAAAACACGCTCGAGAAGCTGATCGAGAAAGAACACGCCAGTGCTCCCGCGATTAATATTCATCAGCCTTCGCGATTAGTTAATGCCATGCGGAACAATAAGCAAGCAATGACGTAAATTGACGCCGATAACGACACCTGAATTGATCTTAAAGGGTCTCTCAGAATCACTGTCGGACGATCGTGTGAGATGCGCTTAAGGAGTCGACGGACGGTCGATCGAGACGCGAAGAAGCGAAAGAGAAAGAGAGGAAGAGACAGAAAGAGAGACAGGCAGATGGAGAGATTGGTGCGTAGAAGAGAACATCGCTGCTGCTGGTCCACTCAAAGCATCCAGCAACGGATAGTAAACGCTCAAAGGCCACTGCCCGACCCGACAGATGATTTATACGACCCGTTACGTCGCTCGTGTGTGTCTCACTTTTCCTTTTGTCTCGTGCTACGCACTACTTTCCAAATTGTTTCTTCCATTCAGCTTCTTGTCCGCCGAAATAATCTGCCGCACGGCTTCGACGTTACATCGGTGAAATTTTGATTATCGAAATGATTTCGTGAACAGCTTTATGAGTATGTGTATAGGTAAGTATATTGATACTGTCGAAGCTTATACGTCCGTCATCTGGCACCGGTATTGATTTCGATGAGAAGATAATTGGAGAGGAGATACATGTGTTATGCGAGATGAATGTTTCAAGAGAGAGAAAAAATGTTGCAAATATTCCCAAAAAAAAATATTACAAACTTTTTCTACAAAGATTTCCGTAGATATCTATTCAAGATATCTTATGATAGCAATTTCTCGAAATTTTTCTATAACAACTGAATAAAAATGAATATTTATATCCAGATTTATAAAATCAAGCAAATGAACAGAGTAATGATTTATGCAGCAAAAAAAACATGCATCTATGAAATTTATCTTATTTGAAAATAAGAACCTGCGGTCAACCATTCCTTAAAAGAAAACATCTTTAGACTTCGATTTGTACAGATGGATAAAATAAAAAATATCGCACAAACGATCGTGGCTGTTTCTGCCGCAAATACAATAACAAATAGAGAGATATTTACCGTATCATCGAAGACCAGGTTGACCTGACGGTGGTCGGTTATGGGGTGCGGATGCGGTGGTCGATGCATCCTTCCTCCGCCATGAACTTCCGGATAGTCGATCTGCAAGAAAGATAAACATCAGTTTACAATGATAAATATAAAGACTATAAATAAATTATGTCTAATTTATCGATCTCTTCAGGAAATTATCGGTCTACTCAGGAAATGATTATTGCGCGTGTGTGTAATAAAACGCGCGTTTGAATAATCATCGAGGAATGATGTCGATGTCAATATGTAAGCGCAACTTGATATCTCCGCGCTAACTCGCAGCGTCCCACATAACCGGGACAGATAAGCGCCATGTACGGGATATTCTAGAGCTATCGCCAGTGTTTTTATCTATGGACTTTATCAATTTAGCGTCCAATCTTCTCTAGCAAAAACTTGATTCCAAAGCATCGTCTTTCAATCCTTACACAGTATTAAAAGATATATACACATGCACATATATACAAATGGTAAAACTGAACCATAAAATTATAACATTACATCAAAGGAAACAATCCGCCTAAAATTAATCAAAGAAAAAAATTTAATTACCTATTTTTATCTTTGAGGTTTTATTCATCAAAATGTCTTTTTACTTTTTACTTAAGAAAAGTTTTACTTTTTATTTAAGAAAAGTTCCATCGCTAATTAATCAGGAAAAAACTTTTGACAAAAACAGTTTTTGAAAAACACTATGCAATCGTTCAAGAAACTTTTGTTAAGAATTTGCGACTAGAGTTTGAGAATAAAAGAGACTGCATCACTTGAAAAAATATTCAATATGGACGATTATTATTTTTAATCTAGATATATGCATACAACTGCAATTGAACAACTGGATAAAGTATCGCGTCACGATTTATACAAAGATAACAATAAATAAGTTTCAAGCGGAATGGAAGCGCCTATGCCATTTCATCCAAAGGACTCTCATTGATAATCTAATCAGGCACGACGCCACCTGCGAATGCTGCAGCTGTGTTACTTCTTCGTTCTAACAATACATTTAGACAATTTATCATTATATTTTAAAAGAATTGCACCTAAATAAATATATATATCTGTGAACGGTAAAATTTAAATATTTTTAAATAATATTGTTTTAATTTGCATTGATAATATATATGATCGAAAATAAGAAATAGATATTTAATTGAAAGATCATGCTCGATACTACGCGCAGTAATCCACAATGTCAGATTATCCCAACTTTCAACATGATATAATATGTAATATGCGATGAAAGAGAATAGAAACAGATGGTATCCGTGGTATCCATTATAAATTTGTGAAAGTAGAATCAAGTAAAGCCAATTTCTCTTACTAACAACACTTTCCATGCAATAAGAATTAAATTCCGTAGGAATATATATTCCAACGTATACATTTCTTTTAAATAAAAAGCACGAAGCAATTTGTGTTGGAAATAATTTAGCACGCACGTACAATACAATCTTAATTAAAAATTGAAAACTACTTATACACATTAAACTAAGGTAACATTAAATGTATCAATTGACACATGTATATTTATTGATTTTTTAAAAGAATATAGAATACAGAGAAAAATTATTAATTATTTTAATTAATAATAAACTCCATATTTCATGAAAAGCTCGCTGCTATTAATTGCATGTCATAATAACATTTAAAAAGACTTTTAATTATCAGTTGCTTATAACATTAGCTTTTCATCCTTCATTTTCGCTGCCCTTCGCTCTCTATGCCTCTTTTTCAGTCGACAGCGGCAGCGGCATTCGTTGCTGAACAGTAACGAAAAAAAAAAAAAAAAAAAAAAAAAAAAAAAAAAAAAAAAAAAATTGACACATGTATATTTATTGATTTTTTAAAAGAATATAGAATACAGAGAAAAATTATTAATTATTTTAATTAATAATAAACTCCATATTTCATGAAAAGCTCGCTGCTATTAATTGCATGTCATAATAACATTTAAAAAGACTTTTAATTATCAGTTGCTTATAACATTAGCTTTTCATCCTTCATTTTCGCTGCCCTTCGCTCTCTATGCCTCTTTTTCAGTCGACAGCGGCAGCGGCATTCGTTGCTGAACAGTAACGAAAAAAAAAAAAAAAAAAAAAAAAAAAAAAAAAAAAAAAAAAAAAAAAAAAAAAAAAAAAAAAAAAAAAAAAAAAAAAAAAAAAAAAAAAAAAAAAAAAAAAAAAAAAAAAAAAAAAAAAAAAAAAAAAAAAAAAAAAAAAAAAAAAAAAAAAAAAAAAAAAAAAAAAAAAAAAAAAAAAAAAAAAAAAAAAAAAAAAAAAAAAAAAAAAGAATGAAAGAGAGACAATGAGACGAGTGCACTTCGGGCCGGAACTCGTAGGCCGGACTTCCGGTAGATATGCTGGTTATATGTTCCATTCACGGAACCGCTCCCTCGTGACTTGATTGTTAGAGTGAATGGTTCAGCCAATTTCGGGATGAAAGTTCAGTTTCTATCGGCGATCGATCGAACGATATGACGTTCTGATACGATATTTTGCACGGTCGCATATGTTGCGAGACAAAGAGAAAAGTCTAATGTATTGTTCCTTATATCATATGAGAAACGACAAAACGTTACTTGCAAATTCGTCGGTATTCTATCTACGTAGTAGTTAAAAAAAAAATTGCTAACGAATCCTAAGATTACCTTGATATTAATAATACTGCTAATGCTCGTATTGAATAATATGCAATTACATAGTATTTTGTAATTATCTCTCTTGCTTAACCACGCTTGATTTTGAAAGCACGCATAACATTCCCAATCAGCAAAACGCAATCATGACACAACCAATAACAAACGTTTGCAAAATGTGCATATGTTTTCCTGACATAACGGTTGGATTGTAAACAATTACCGCATTAGATATGAATTTAAATCAATAATTATTCGAGCAGAAATATTTTACAACATGCGTTTAATTGCATTAATGTTACATACACATACATAGTTATCTATTAATTACTAAAAGCCTATTAAAAATATAAATTATTCTAAATCAGTAAAATATAAACAAAAATAATTTTACATATTAAATGTATAATAAATGAAAAATAAAAAAGTTTAAATTAAACATACATTACTAACATTATTGTTAACAGTAATACATTAAGAAAAAATCAATTCTTCCTGCCAAATTAATATTATATCAGAATTCCGAGTAAATAAAATTATCATGTATTTATATAAACTTTAAAAAGCAGCATATATATAAGGAGATAATAAATCAAACCCTTGTAAAAATTATTAGTGTGATAAATAGTATAATAATTAATTTTCGATAATTGTTTAAATGAAACAAAAAGAGTGTGTATGAAACAAAAATAATATTCTAAAATGCAAAATTATTATATCGATTGTTTATCTCCAATGTTGTCGATTCTTTACAAATAATTAATTACAATCAGACAAAAAAATAATACATAATCTGTCAATTATACGCTCTCATTCATGCCGCCTGTCATTCCCCTACATTGTGCGCCAATCTCTGCGTGGGACTTTCGACCCGTGCGTGGGCGACATGCGTCCACGTGTACACACACGCGTTGTGCATCGAACGAGATAAAACGATCGCGAGATATAAACGCGGTTTACCTCTTCGTTCTTTACATCAGTCTCGACCAAACATTAATGACCTCGTTCGTACATCACGGTCGCTCGTATCATCGCTTTCTCTAGATTATCACTTGAAAAAAATATAGTCGCGCGATATTTATTTATCAGAATTTAATATGAAATTAAATGATTATTTCCGCAACACCGCAAAGAAATAACTTAAAAACCACCTCCTATTAAAATCATTAATAAAGACATAAGTTTCTGATGTACTTGCAACGAATATCTTAAATGAAACTGTCTAATCAATTTTATTTTATATCCTGTATACGGATGCAGTATCAAATATTTATCATATATAATTTATATTTCTGCAAATTTGTATAAAAATTGTAGGAATAAAGTAAAATAACCGAATAGAAAATATGTAAAAAGAATCCAAACAAATTTATGATAATATAAGAATCAATATAAATGATATGATATATTTTTATTTTTCTAATTTATTACTTTTTCAATATTTGTTATCAAAGATATAAAAAACATACTCCTTTATCAGTCCTTGATACAATATTTGTGTGGATACTTTTCTTCACAAACATCGAAGCAAACGTTAGCGTGTTATAAAAATAAGTTTTCATTACAGGTATTACTCAATTTAATAGATTGATTGATATAATGCATTCTCCCCGTTACATCGAGGAGAATCCATTACATCTATCTTCTTTCCATTACTTCTTTACCTCGGATGACACGATCGATAGTGTTCTGGGTGTACCAGGCCAGCTTCTAGACAACGATCGCCCTTTCCGTTTTCTTACGACGACCCGAGATCGTCCAGTCCTGCTTGTATGTTTCAACATCGCGAATAATTATCGGATAATTTAATCGAGATTACAAAACGCCTGAGTATACACTACACTACTTCCATGCGCTTTCTTCACTGCCATCTCATTATACAGATTGATCGGTAAACGTCATATTTCACTATGTCAACTGAACCACAGTCAATCACGTAGAGGATACCGGATTCAACCTCACACAATGTTATGTTGTTTTCAACAATACATCGATACCTTCTCACGTTATTCACTGATTAGACACTTCGCAGAGTCTTCGCGCCGCAAAAACCAAGCACTGTAAACATCAAACGATACCTCAAACATCAAACGATACCTCGCGTGAGCACGGTTGGAATTTATGAGAGGCGAACCGTGCGCGATGGTGCACTCGTAACTAGTTTAATGCGCGTTCGTTTAATCACGCGGCGATTCTGTCGAGCGGGGACCTTGCGAACCGTGCAATCTCGAGGCCGATATCGACGGAGATGGCTTCCGTGAAATCGTTAATAAAACTATTTTGTTGAGAACGCGGTCGTGATTTGACACATGTACGCTCTTATACACATCGTGTCTCGCGGAGAACTGAATCGTTCACGATTCTTGAAGAGGGCCAAAGACCGCGGATCACGGTCTTTGCGGTCACGTGACTACGCACTCAGGAACGTAGA